CATTCTGGTCAGCTCGCTCCTGACCAGATACGTAGCCAGTTGTCTCATGGGTTTGGAATTCTGATCTTATCCTGTGGTAGATGCACGAGGGCAAAGGTCTCGTGTTTTCCCATCCCATAGGGCCAAACAACCACCTAGCCAACCAGCAATATACCACAGCTCTGAGAAACCTAAGGATTATAAGATATTTACTAGGTTCAGTAAACACACGATTACAACGGCAATGTAGAATTAAAACATGCTGATTATGGACATGTTTTGTATTGGACTTTCAGTAAAGAGGTTCACGTGTAAGCTCTTCTAGTTTAGCATATATCAACTCTATTTCATCGTACTCACTTATTTTGAGCTGCATCATTCCTTCTTCGATAATGTCGCCCATCTTTATCGCGAAGAAGTGGTCCAACTTGCTCAAGAACAGTACGGTTTGTTAATGGAGAAAAGTCGGGATGGTTCAAAATGCATTCCGCATCGAGACCGATAAATGTAAATTTCCCTCTCGTCTGAAGTATTTCGTAACAGCATCTAAATTCACGCGCCCCAGCTAAGTGTGTCACATTGCAATTTCCACACGTACACCTGTAAACAGAAATGTTTAGACTTGAGCCAAAGTTCAGTCGAAAAAATAAAATATCACAGCTATGAGCTCTCACCAACTGTCTAAAGGAACTTGTCCTTCGAAACGTTGTTCCAAAACGGAGGGCAAAATACCGTCTTCGTCTTCTTCATCTTCGCCGCCGCCATTGCTATCACCGTCTTCACGGTTTGTTAATGGAGAAAAGTCGGGTAAGGGCTCGCCTTGGTACGGCGCAAAATCACCATTAAATACATAATAATCTTCTCCATCACTGCTGCAAACGTCTTCGCTCCCTTCGGAAGAAGATTCACCCGTAGAAAGCTCGTTTTCAGACATTATGCCGGACCGTATAAATACAAACAATATGAGAGAAAAGACCCACGCTAGCGAGATGAATACAACCAGTGACGTCAACAATCGTTTTCATTCGGTCCCAGGGCCCGGACATGGTTTGAAGCAAAAATGCGGTTTTCAACCCTAAAAAATACAACTTTCCCCTTTTTTCTGGCGAAAACGAATTAGCCCACGATAATCAGCGTGTTTCAAACTACAAAATTATGTAAAAATCTCATATACGAAAATTTCGTTTCAGTGGCACTTTAAAGATCTTTATAACTAGCTCTCCTTTTGTGTACGTTAAGACGAGTTCTAAGAAATCTGTAAAGAAATAATTTTTCTTCTTTGTTTTCGTTGTTCGAGATTCGAGGCTAATTATCTCTGAAAAATGCACGGCTACACCAAGTTTTGTTCTGGATTCCAATAGCCCTTGCTGAGATTTTCCTTTTATAGTCTTTTGTATTTAGCAGGCGACGTCCTACAAAAATTTTTCAATACAAAAGTACAGACCTTTGAAGTGCGTCAGCTGCTCCAATTTGTTTCTCAATATCTACAATAACTTTGGTAGTTTTTAATTACCTCCACACTGTAATTTGAATCCAAAAGAATGCGTCACCATGGAATCATATCGCAAAGTGGATTTTGTTTCTCTTTGCGGTATAAATACTTAATGACTTTTTATATATTTTAGGCTTAAGCTACTCTAGAATGCTTGGCAAAAGAATCGAAACTCTGTGTCTAGTTTGATGTTCTCTCGTGTCAAGTTCCATGGATTATTTCCAGCTTTCCGCATTGTTTCTGCTGGTGAGTTTTATAAGTGTTTCATGGAAAGGTGTGTCTGCATCGGGTAAGTTTCTGTCTTCCAATTTTTTTGTTTTTATACCGGGGCATTAACAATTTATTATTCGAAGTCCCTGAACACAATTTTGATATTCCCTTGCTAAGAATACTGGATGTCATATATAAACACTATTTAGCTCGAATTTCTTGCTAGAGATGGTGCTCTGTCTCTTGATGTTATCGTTTTCCGCTTTTTATTCTACCAAGACAGTTACACGGCTGTTTTAAAATGCTAGCAAAAACAATCTGAACCTCCGGTGGATCTCTCGTAAAATAAATAAGCCCAATCCGCATTATTTCGGGATTCTGCGATCTCAAAAGTACATGAGAGCAGTCAAAATGGATCATACAATGCGCCTGAAAGATGCTACCTCTTTTCAAATCATGAAAATTCTGAATGTTTTTCGATGACAACTGGAAATATTTCTGCACCAACCCCTCTCCCCCATTTAAACAATGTTGGACAAGTTACATTTCGCTTTGTTTACTGTCTTAGCCCGGTTTTCCTGTTCCTTTTGTTGTGAAGCATGTTGTTGAATATTATTTTCCACAGCTTAATAAAAGCTCTCTCGTTGTTTGTAATCTAGAGCCCTGCATAATCAAGACATTTGGAAAACCAACTGTCAACAAGGCTCTTAAAAATCACGTGATCAGAACTTCGAGGGCGACGTCAGCGGAAGTGTGTGAGTTACATTGCTTTATGGAAATCACGTGTCAGTCATACAACTTTGGTCCAAAAGAGGGTGGTGGTCACGTGTGCGAGCTGAGTGACTCTGATGCTATTAGGGATCCGCTGGACTGGACTACAAAACAAAGGTTTATTTACGGTGGAACAAAGGTATGATGCATCTGGCTAAGACTTTGTCATAGTTAGAAAAAAAGTGCTTGAGCAAGCCTGGCTTTTACTAGCGACGCAAGTACAAGCGCAAGCACAGGCGCAAACACAATAATTCTTATTTCACCGTGAAAACGGCCTTGACGTAGGCATAAGCACAAGCCTGAAGTAGAAGCACAAGGATTAAAATGTTTCTTTTTTCTTGTGCTTGCGCTCATGCTTGCGTTTGCGCTGCAAAAAAAGGAAACGAAATACCGCTCAGGCATAACACAAGCACGAGCATATTTTCCACCAGTGGTTATGTTTGGCCAATTATCATGAAAATACTGGATCCAGATTACCTTGCGCCAAAACAGTTTTCCAAAATGGCGGAAGGTTCGGATGATTCTGCTTGTGCTTGTGTATGCGTCGGATTTCGTTTTCACTTGGGTCATCCCTAATGCTTGAGTTTGTGCTTGCGTTTATGGTTGCGGTTGTGCTTACGTCGCTAGAGAAAACCAGGCTTTAGACTACAATTGGAATTCTGCACATTATTTCACGAAATACACTGCAGTGCTAAAACTTTCATGGTTAGTAAGCAAGTCTTTGGAGCGTGAAAACGTTGTTAGGTTGACCAGTGTTGGCTCGACTGTCGTGAACATCGCTTGGAAGACGTAGAAACCCTTGTTTTTTTTACTATTTGTTCTCTAACAATTTGTAATTTGATTTCTTGTTTCATTTCAACGAAAGAATCCATGCTCAAACGCTGAGTGTCCTGTTAATTCCCGTTGTTACTCAGACTTGGAACATGACACATATCAGTGTGTATGTGCAGCGGGCTTCACTGGTAGCAACTGTCAATCAGGTAAGTTAAATGCGTGTCTAAACATGTTAAAATATATCGGAACACTGAACGTTTTCAAGGAAAAAGTCTAGTGGTGTACGATAAAGGGAAGCAATTAATTCTGGTATGACTTCTTCTTAGCCTTTGTAATTAAGATAAGGTATTAATCTCAACGGGGACTTGGATTACGAATACACTATTGAAACAAAGTCTTCAATACTATTGTAACGTTGCTAAGAGACTAGACTAGCTTTGCAACAGCCTTTTTCAGGACGAGAAACACGTGTGTGTGGCAGAAGAAAGTCGGCCATTTTGTAGTGCTGCTGGTAACGGTTGTTCCAAGCTAGTCAGTGAGAGGGACGAAGCTACGGAATCGGCGGAGAAGGCGTTGGAGAAGGTATCGGAGATGGAAATCAAGCACTTCGCTTTTAAGGGACAGTCGGCGAAGTCAACAAGAGTGAAGCCTAAGAAATTTTCGGGCTGTGACAACGACACGGACTTCAAGGCCTTTTTGGATCAGTTTGAGGTGTGTGCGAGGATAAACGACTGGAACGAAGAGAAAGCAAATCAACTGATCTTGTGCATTAAGGAGAAAGCACGTGTGGTCCAGCTCTCGACGGACGACAAGAAGTGTTACGGGCGCATGGTCAAGGCTCTAAGTGAGAAAATCGGAATGCGTTAGGTTCCCTTTTCTAACATGAAACAAAGCTCTTTAAGGATAATTTGTGATCGACATATCAAAACACAAGTCTTATAAGTGATTTAACAACAAAAAATGGTGATAAAGCGTTGTTTATTCTGAGGAATCGCGTGCACTCTTTTGTGGCCAACAACTGGGCCCACGAACGAAGCTTCCATTTTCGTTATTACTCGGGAGAAAACAGCGTTGAGCAGTCGATGGCTCTGCATGTGTAAACTAAATGCTAAAGCTAGTTATGCGTGAAATTAAGTCCTTACGGCTATTCCAAGGTAAGAAATACAAGTTTACGTTTTTTGTGGCCGAGAACTGGGCACTATACTGTACACAAAAGGCCCGACGAAGATAGATGGGAGAAACTTTGTTACTCGGGCTTTACGAAGGAGACGCCCGAGGAATAAATTCGTAAAATAAATGCGTAGAATCTGTA